AATTTTCAAGTGTAGTATTTATACCGGCTCAAATCATCTGAGGATCAAGTTAGAATGACTTTCAAAAACGTCTATATTTGCTGCCTGCTTCGTTGTGTGAACACCTCAATATCCTTCTGACATCAGGGTTTTTTGTGCTCATTTGCAATCTGTCTTCCGTTGATCCTCCTCCGTCAAATGGTTGCTGGAAAAGATCTGGTCCTCAAAAAGGTAAGATTTATTTGTACAAAACATAAAGCAGGTTTATCTCAAGGACACACAGTGAGAAAGATACAAAGCTCTCTGTAGCTCAGCAGTTTTGGAAAGATCCAATTTGAAGCTATAAAAACTCTTTCAGTACAGCCAGTGAAGGCTACAGTACAGATATTAGCTGTATCCAATGTACTACAGTTAGCCTGGTTTTCCCTAACCAATCAATACCCACCAATGTCATGGGTACAGAAGCTGTAGTAGAGGTTGCTAGGAACAGTTAACTTATTGTTTTCATATAGGTCAAATAAATATACCATGTGTATGCAAGGGTGTTTCCAGAGGGGGAACCTGGGGTGGCACTAACACCATTATCTTTACCTTTTCCACTCGACAATGTCTTTGAGACATTCATATCAGGCTTCGTTTTGAAGCTAGTATCATATGACCTGATTGGTACCAACCATGTCATGCAAGCTTGTTGAGAAGGAGGCTACATAACGCTCCAAAGTTAGGCTAAATTTCAGTGATGGAAGAACTGGCAGGGCTCTTTTCAAAGGGATCCCTTGACCTCTGACCACTTCAAGATATCTGAATGAAAATGGCTTCTATCGGTACCTACGAGTCTCCCCTTTGTAGAGATACCCACTTTATGCTAATCTCATGCAGTTTTGGGGCAATTGAATCTGGTATAAATATGTTATTTCCGCCTAGTGTACTTGAATATTTGTACAGACTGGGGTCCATAAACAGTGTTGGAATTGCATCAATTGGGAATGACAGGAAAACTGAGACACATGCTTCATGTCACCGCTGCATAAATCAGTGCCCCTTTTGTGCCACCACAGTCAAGTCTGGAAATGCCCCTGTGTGTATGTGTGTGAGTTCAGTCTGCTCCAGTTTTATAATAATAATAATAATAATCCTGCAGCCGCAATATGACCGTTTACCTTTTATTGCCAACGTGTGAACAGGTTGTAACACAACCTAAAAAATGAGACTATTTTAGCTGGATAACATTAGCTTTCTTAATAATGCGGACAAATTGGCAGGTAGCTATTTAATGGTGTTGATTTTAGTACAAAGCTAACAGTTGCTTTCTACTAGCCAAGAGCAATACGCGGCAGGGGAATCCAACTGGTTAACTGTAGCCTAAACTAAGCTGAGGTTGGCTGGCTGTGGCTTGGCTGCACGGTGTTGGCTAAAGGGGTGATTTGTAAACGGCAAGCTAGTTAGTAGAAGTGAAGTCAATGGTCCAATTTTCCATAAGGTCCATAAGGTAACTGTCAAGCGTTCAGTTTCAAATATGTTACTTCTGCCGATGCCCAGGATGATGATCGTTTGCACCTACGGATTGTGTTTAAGTTGAAATGTTTTTGGACTCAAATAGAAAAGTTGTTGCCTCATTTTAATTTTGGGATGCCACAAACAAATGTGCATCAAGTAAATGTGCAATAGTTTACCACTCAAATTCAAAAATAATCTAAACACCCTGACAAAGTCCAGGTAAGACAGATTTTTGCACCACTAAGAATGTTAGATATGCTCCATTTTACAGCCATTCAACAATTTATAATGTGTAATTACTATTACAAGCTCACTAGGCTGCTAGCATGGCTTTAGCCCTTTAGTCTATAATGTATATTTGTTACTTTATTTTACAGGCTTGTAATGTTTTAATAATTTGGCGCTAATTACAAGGAAAATTAGAGACCAAGTTCTGTTGTTAAGAATTTCCTTAAAATAACCCAAATAAAACTTTTCACTCATTATTTATCTATTATTGGAAACTGGAGGTGTACCAATTGAACGTCTTCATGTTCCCAATTTACAGTTCTTCCTAGGAACCGTGCTATAAATTTACACATCACCTCCTTTCAATTATAGGAAACTATGGTACCAGAATATGTGAAGATACACACATCAGTCCTTATTTGATGTGGCTACTCCTGCAATAACCAGCTTGTAGATCAAATAAATGTGCCAATTTAAGAGTTATTTTTAGTCTCCACAAGTCTACTGATAACAACCAGTTCACTCATAGGACTGGGAAACAGATTTTTCTGATGGCTCCCATATATTCTACTTCAATAATGCAGGAGTGCTTGAAAAAGCACATGTGTCAAGGTAATTAAAGCCAAATTTAAGGGATATAGTGCCACATTGACCATGCACTGAGCCCTAAACCACCATGAAAACTTTTACCTTCTGTCCCATGTGACATGAATGCTGCACAATTATCCTGTAAAAAGGAAAGTGTGGAGGTGAGTTTAGTTCATGTCTGTCTATGCTGAGAATAATTGTATTGAGGACCGGCCCCAAGGCAGACAAACCATTCTAACTCAGCAGATAAACATTTCGTAACAGCAAAATCAGCAAAAAAACCCAATCACATTATGGAATATGCTAAACTTTCCAGAGGAGCTCAGATTGTTTCCATCATGTAAACCATCAGATGTTTTGTTCCTGCATAAATACCGCCTGGTGTTACACTGACGTTACACGAATGACGACCTCTCCGGAGTCACTGTCCTGACTGAGGTTGTTACGGGGCAACAGGCTGGGGCAGAAAGGGGCCAAACAGAGGCAGGTCCATGGCTGCGGCCCCAGCTGAGTGGGGTGCAAGGGTCCATTGGACCCAAAGGTGACCAGAGGCAACCAAAGCGTCCTGGGGGACAACGAGGAATGGCCAGTGCTTGTCTCCTCCATGTCCTTCGCCTTATCATAGCTCTGAACATCCCAATGGAGGTTGACGGCTCGCCAGCGCATGAAGACGTTGTACACCGCCGCCCCCTCGTGGACGATCAAGCCTGGTACAGGGACAGAAGATGGACACGCAAGCAAATGTTGATCCTCTGATGTGGTCACATTTTTAGGTCTCATCAAAAGGTAATTTTCAAACTCCAGGAAATATTCTGAACACCACTTCTAAGAACATCTTTAAACAGTTTCCAGATAAGACAGGTTCTATGAGTGACTTTAGAGGAAGACTAAGCGTGAACTCAACTGCTTGTTCACTGGTTCAAGGGAAACCTAAGGGGACAGTATTTGTTGGCGTCCTCCCAGGTACTGAATATTGAATTAAGAGCCCAAAATCTTTGTTTCAGATTTGTGAAACTTTTGCATTGATTATTAAGACACTCAAAAAAACAGTTAGAGAAAACCTACTTTGCTAGAAAAAATACTAATGTGCCACTGAAATAAAATTACTTTATTCCCTACATTTTATTTGTGGCAAAGGATTTCAGTTCTTGAGGCCTTTGACTCATTAAGGATAAAGTTCATTGACCACTGAGATTAACAAACTTGCCTGAGGATCATTATGATTTTAAGTTTTCTTTAGTATCAAAGGGATCCAGCGATAGCTATGTGTAGCTAATTCAGCATACTGTCAATGTAGCACAATTAGCCAAAAAGTAAACAAATATGGACGAAAGAAAACAGGGCTCAAGTTGTATCCCACGGTGTTACAAACATGGTCGGATACTGACAGTCTGGCAGTCAAACAGCCTGCGATTCAGCCAATGAATGACGGTGATGCATTCATGAAGGAGCTAATGTCAGTCAACTAACGCAAGCTGGAACTTCAGTGCTCGGCCTGAACTAAAGCTTTGCTCCATCTGTGCTATAGATTGTGTCTTATGTAACACGGAAGACACGGAGACGGAAAGAAAATCATCCTTTTCTTTCTATTTCACAAACACAACCGAGGCTTGAAAAACCTGGAGTAGATTAACAAGTCTAGGTTCAGCAGTTTGCTTTTTTTTAACCAGAAGAGAAAGAATGTGAATTCATCCTTTTCATAGTTTAATATTTTCAGATATCTGTTAGACCTGGGACCATTTCTCTGTCACACGTTTTCTTTCTATGTTATATAAACTGCTACTAGATTTCGCACTAGTACGGTGGTTCCCAAACTTCTTTCATGAATGTTACCCCTTTGAAATATGTTTTCCTTAATTACCCCCTGACCAGCGATAAACATTTTTGATTAAAAAAAACCCATTCCCGTATAAAGACGTACAACACAGCACAACCAAAAGTACCCCTAGGGGTAACCCTGCACTAGAGCAGTGGTTTCCAACCCTTTTCCTTAAGGGACCTCTTTTTTATCATTTAGTAAGCTGATGACCTCTGATTAAATTATATTTATTACGGATATTCCATATTTTATTCATTGCATAACAATAACAGTAGAGAACAACTGATAAACTATACAATGAACCCAAACAGTGAACACTATAACAGCTATGACAGCTCACAGACTCACCTACGCAGACCAGGTCCATGAAGCCATACATGCCGTAGCAGATCTGGAAGAGGACGTCGCGGCGCTGCCAGATGGCCTGCGGGCTGAGGGCTGACCACAGCAACCAGGAGATACTGGCCACCAGGAAGAGAGAGCCCAGGAACACTGCGATGATCTGCACCTTCTCCACCAGGGTGATGGTGATGGGCTGCCACTGCACACAGAGAACAGGCCCATACATAAAATGCACTGATGGCAAAATATCGGTGGTTTGTCGGTGCCTTCAAACTTCTAAGAAAACTCTGTGGGTGGACTCATCAGTCGTTTGTTACAGGGTCACTGGATGGAAATAATTTCACTCTCCAATTACCATCCACTGCATTAATAAGCCAGTGTGTCATCACTATTTAAAGTTGGGATAGGATCTCTAGAGTAGCCTGAAAAAAGTTAATAATGCTATTATTAATAGCAATAATAGCAATAAAAAATATATGAGCTGTATATATATATATATGAACAGTTATGAATAGTATAGGTTCAGTATCCTATACATTTTAAAATATCAATGCATGCATGTTGATATGATGGATCAGTAAATCATTCACAAGTAAAGGCATTAAGGACATATGCAACAGACACCATTTAGATATACATCATACATTCCCTCAGTGCGTCCTCCATTAACTGTATGCAAGAAGTGTATGTGTATGTATATATTAAGTACATATAGCCCTCTTGCATACAGTTAATGATGCAATCTGTGCTATAGTACAATGAGAGGAGCTGACTCTGCTTAACTTGACAAGGACCTCTAAGTATAAGTCCAGTTCTCCGATCAATATATTGGCTACCAGTTTCTCTCAGAATCAGCGTTAACATTCTGTTGCTTGTCCGAAAGTCGCTGAACTGTTTAAATCCAAGATATCTCCAGTTGGAACCGTGCAGAGCGCTCAGGTTGGTGGTTGTGGATTACTGTCACAGTGTCAGGTTGTGCTGTGTCAACAAAATGGACCCAAAATACTGTTATTATGTCAATCTAATGTTCTGAGTCTGTTTGTATCAGTAATGTTTGTAATGTAATGGTTAAATAAACATAATTAATATAAAACTATGAAGAAAAACAACAAAAAACTTTAAAGAGTTTATCATACAGTTGGACACTTTTAGATGTTTTCCCATAACTTTACCCAACAAAGAGAATGACTAATTAGACCAGGCACAAAAAAAGAATATTACTACAAAAATAATACACGTGTTAAAAATAAGGTTTAAAGATAAAAACAAGATGAATCAAACTAATAAACAAATATTCGCAATAACTTGAAAATCGATTCAAACCGACAGGCTGGTGACGCAACGCTGAGACGTCACAGAGGAACCGAATCCACCGGTTCGAGCTGAGAGATCCGGAACACAGGAGACACCGAGTGGAGCCAGCTGTGTTCATCTGTATCACCGGTAATAGACCTAATGTTAGTCTGACTCAGCGGAGCTGCCTCCTCATCAGTGGCCGTCATCATCATCTGAGGCTGGGATAAAGAGAGCGCGGCGCACGCACCCCGCCATCCGCCATCCATCATCATCCATTCATCATCCACCCATCTATCATCCATCATCCACCCATCTATCATCCATCATCATCCACCCATCATCCACCATCCATCATCCATCCATCTATCATCCATCATCCACCATCCATCCAAACTTCCACAGATGGTAAAACGGACAGAGAGTGCGACCACTAACCGCTGCTGCACCGGTGAACTGCACCCTGATTAACTAACAGCTGGCTGCTTGTTCAACATCTGCACAATGATTCAAGTAGTTCCATTTTTTTCACTTTTTTTATACAGTTAGATACTGAAACTTATGGAAGACCATTTCCGCCAATGTGACAGGAAAAAGATATTAATTATATTATATTATAATATATTATATTATTAAAACTGTTTTATTTAGAAATAAATGAAATGCTGAGGTATAAAAAAAATGCTTTCTTACACCCCTAAAATCATGAAAGGCCTTGCAACCCCCTGTAAAGCTTTGGTGACCCCTGGTGGGGGTCTGGACCCCCAGGTTGGGAACCAGTGCTGTAGTTCACTTCTTCCAGTGTGAAGTAGTTGGCAGCTTTCACAGTAGCTTCCCAACACTACACACACACACCAAATTTGTATTTAGTTTTATCTAATTTAACTATTTTTAATAGCAAGTGCAACTCAGGTAGACGTATTGTAATCATCAGTGAGGTATGAAGTATCCAGATAAAGCAACGAAGATACCGATCAGAAATAGTTTCCTGAAGTTAATGCCATCTGTCAGTTAAAAAGTTCAAATGTGGATTTATTTACATGTGAAATGGTGTTAAGTGTGTAACTAGTCCTAGTAGGGACTTGTCCTTTTCATCTGAGGTTAAATCTGTTTGATTAGGTCTCTTTATGTCTCCGTCTGTGAAGGTACTAAACCTGTGGGGCAGACTGTCCTTCAACTGCAGAAAACTGCTGAGCAGCTCCGCTGGACGGATGCTAAAGGTGAGATACACGCATCCTAAGATGTGTGTTTAAAGAGCTACCTCACACTTAAACATGTTTTTTGAATACATGAAGATCTGCCTTTCATGGGTTCCAAGCAGACGATTTGTGTCTTAATAGGTGTGGAGGGGATCTTTAATGAGTCAAAAGACAAACTACTACTACTTCTCCTCTCTACTGTCCTATAGGCGGCTACCAGCCTGATTGGCGGGACCCTCCCCTGGGTGGAAAACCACTACAACCAGAACAGGACGGGTTACTGCAGGCAGCCGGAACACAAAATCATGACCAGACAGTTTCACACTACCCTGAAAGCCTGCTACAAGTACGACAAAATCTCTAAAAAGGAGATGAGGGAGGCCAAGAGGAAGTGGAAAGAGGCCATGAGGAATGTAAGAGAGGAGGACAAGAGGAGGAAAAAGCTGTGGGGACAACAAAGTTGTGTACCAGAGCCAAATCAATAACAAGAAGAAATAAGATATATGAGAGCAGAGAGAAAGCACAGAATAAAAACTTGATGAACTTGGAAATTGTTGATGCTGAGAGGATGATTGTGAGGTGGCACAGCGCTCGTTTCAGAGGGAAAGACTTTAGGGGTACTGAGTGGACGAGAAAGTAGAGCTCTGCTAATCCTCAGCTGTGTTTGTTCAGTCTGCCAGTGACTCAAGTCCCATCTGGAGTGAACAGATCTGCAAAAGCCTGAGTGTTCTTCAGTGAGAGAAACTATCCAGAATGCAGATATTTTAAGCTTCAGGAGTCTCTGGCTGTTCAGCTTTGGAGGAAACGAGGACAGAAGGAATCCTGACGCTCCAAACTGACAGCAGAGACCTGAAGAGGAAACACAAACACTCAGGTTCACAGTCCACGCTGCGTTTGCCTCAAGCTACCAAAAACTACCATCATTATTTCTGTGTTTTCTAAAAAATAAAGTCTTTATTACAATATTTTAGATGCATGTTAGTTGAGCAGAACCGCTTCAAAGGGATTTTGTGTTGCACTTCCACAAAGCGATGCACAAGAAACAGATCTTAAAAAGCGAGAGGTAGAAATATCCTGATTTGAAGCCCATAATAGCTGGAGCTTCAAAAACACTGAATGCTACACTTCCCACAATGCAACCTGATTGCATCTTTCATTAGACCCTGCCTGTTAAATGCTCACATCTTTTAAATTCAACACCACCTCTTTGTGTCTCATGTTTTCTGTTAACAAGACTGCCAATTAAAGAAGAACAAAGCGGGTGTCATGGTGGAGGAGGACAAACACAAACCAGAGAGATATTTTGCAACCTGGCAACCCAAAAGTTTCTATTCTCAATGACTTTTTAGTTTTAGTTAATTAAGTTGTCAGGTACAATTTATAAACCCTTTATAAAGGATGCCTTATGAGAAAGTGGTCAAATTTAGAACATGCAATAACTAAGTCCTGAAACAAGCAGCAGCTTCTGAGGAAGTAACAACTAACTTACTACTTACTTTAAAATGTCCAACGTTACAGTAGAAATAAATGTTTACAGCCTGGTACAAAGAACAGTTTTGGTTTCTATAACTAATTTCACAGTTTGTGACAACTGTATGGGGGCGGATTTTTATATAACTCACCCATTTAAATGATATTAAGGCTTAAAGTTATACATAATTAAGCTGTTTTCAGTACCCAGGCTTCATTCGGCCCGCCTCAGCTCCACCCACGCTCCACGTATTTGCCCATTTTTACGGAGTGAGGACTACCAATAGTATAGTCAACTTTTTTAGCAAATAGTTAATTATTTACACATCCAGCAGTTATGGAGAAACTCCAAACATTTAGAGTCATATTTGTGTCCACCTGATCAATGTCTCTTTTAGCTGTTTTTGGTCTTCACCAACTCCAGAGGGAAATATCTGGCTCTTTAAATGCTCCACTATATTCACCAGCTAATCTCTGAGTTTGTCTGCCTGCTGTAGCCCAAAATGACACTGTGAGAGCTGATAGTGAATCAAAATAGCAAAGTTGTGGGCAGTGAGACCAAAACAATGAGCTGAACAATGAGCCGTTATAAAGCTCCTTGGTGTTGAGGGGGACTGGTGTAAAAGACTTAATTTGGTCCCTTGGAAACTGAAAATGAACGAGAGGAATGAGAAATGAATAATTCCAGGCTAGATATATCCACATTTCTACATAGTTAAAAAGGTTTTTATTTAGTGGGCCAGGGGTACAAAAAAGAGTAGGTGTACTGCAACATTTGGATTTTGAAACTGAGTTAAAGCGAACCATTTTGCAAGGGCTCTGACAGACGCAGGTGGGTTTGTTCGTTGTCAGTTTGCCAGTGAAACTGCTTTTACCAGTTGAGCTCTATGCGGCTGTTCTCCTCCACCAGAGAAGCTGTGAATATTTCTGAGCATAAATCTAACCAGAGGGTCGATGCATCAGAGATTGTAAAAACAATCTCTTGTTAATGCCTCTATAATAATTTAGAGAGCACGCTTGGTGGGAGAAAACTGTAACCTCAAAGGTTTATGGCTGTAAAAAGCAGTAAAAAATAAAAGCCATAAAGAATATAATGGCTGTAGTTTGGTGTCACACTGCTTCTCAGGCATTTAAACTACAAATCTGAAAAGAGGAAGGATACTCGCTGTTATAATGATATCCATGAGTTCTGAGTTTCTCATTTAAACCTCTATTTTCAAACAACGTGAGTCCCAAAACACAGAGCATTTTTTAAGCATCATGTAGTGTACAGATTAGTTTTAAAATAGGCAAAAGCAGTGACCTAGTACAAATGTCTGTTGTCCTTCCATGCACAACTGTTTCAAGAGTTTATGGAGAGCAATGCAGGATAAAGGAGGCAATCATTGACAGAAAATTATTAGTTGACAAAGCTTAGAGGCACCAGATCATCAAAGTCGGCCTCTGTGTTATGAACTCTTTCCAACTCCTTTCTCTGTGCACCTTGCATTGAAAAGAAAGAAGAAGAAGAAACCCAACTGAAAATCATCAAAATGAACCAGACTTATTGACTGTGGAGGGATATGATTAGAAGTGAAACAGCAGCCATTGTTCAGACATATATTACCTCGGAGCACCTTCATCAAAGACCTTCCAACAGTCAACACTGACTTCTTTTTAACCATGGTCAGCATCTTTCTTGAACCTTAACCGATTGGTTTTAGTTGACTCAGTTCAACCTGAATCATAGAGGTGACAGTGCAGAAAAGATACATCATCTTGTAATCATATCTTGGAACAGCCATTTGTGATAGTTTTGGTATTCACAGACATGATGATGAGGTCCTGTTGGGGCAGCAGATCAGAAAAATGGTCTTTTAGGTCATTTGAGCAATGACCAGAGGTGTGGACTCGAGTACTTTAGTTGGACAAAATGATGCCAAAGATATCATTAGCCAGTATTTTAAAGGTGAGTAGGTGTGTGTTTCCACAGGTGACAGTAGAACTGAGGCAATTTTAAACAGAGACAGAAACTAACCCGTGAAATTTGAGGTCAACGCAGCGGTTGTGAAAACCAGCCCTTCTGCAGTACTTTACCTGCCACGGTCTCTTCATGTTGATGGCGATGACGTGGAAGCGGTAGCAGCAGAGCTCGCAGGTCCAGCAGCCTCGCTCGCTGATCCACTTCAGCAGGCAGTGCTGGTGGGTGTAACGCACTGAGCCGTCACACCGACACGGGTTCAACAGGTCGCCCTGGAGAGCGGAGAGAGGGCAAAGGTCAAATAAGAGCATTAAATGGGGGGGTACAAGTGGCGGAATACATTGGAGGAGACAAAACAACGACACATAAGATACTATAATGAAGCAATAAGAAAGTATTCCTTTCCCATTGTCGTGAGCATAATATATAACTCACTATGCTTTTTTGTCATTCGTTGTCCAGATGCTGAGGTTTATACATTACACCTTAAAAGGCTTAACATCAAGTTAACAAGTGAAAAGTCAATCTGCTGATCACCATAAGAGGTCAGTAAAAGTCATATTCTCTTTAGGTTCTCTTAAAAGACCAAACCATTCCCCAAAGCCTGCTGTACTGTTTTAGATTATCATGTGTTCTTCCAATATTTTCTTCAACATTTCCTTCCCTGTTCTTAATATAAAAAAGACAGAATCTATTAAAACGAGACAAAAAAGCACAACATCCATCATCTTACATGCAAGGTCCTTGGGGCTAAAGCACATCCCAGTTCATGGTGGGAAAGAGGAAGGTGCACCCTGGACTGGTCACATTAAAAACCACAAAGGACACTAACTTTAGGACAGCCATTGACCTCCATCAAAACATGGTACAGTATGAAAAAAACTCTTTGACTGATTTGACTCATCGTTTTTTGGCTTTATTTGCAGCCATGGAGGTTGTTGCTTGGTTCACACTGAAATATCTCAACAGCTGTTAGATGGATTGCTTTGAAACTGTGACAATCATATACAACTAAGAATGAATTATAAAAACTGGTCAACCTCTGATTTTTCTTCTAGCATCATAATCAGGACATTCCCATCAGCCTCAGCTGTACTTTTGCATTTTTGCAAACGTTATCATACCAACACGATAAACCAATAGTAAACATAGTACCTGCTTTACATCAGCAAGCTGGTAGCTATACTCTTTTTATAGCCCAAAATACGTATATCACAAATATATACTGAAACATAAAAACTAAAGCAAACTGCTGAACTGATCTGGATGAATTCAAACTCTTCAACAATCAGCATAGAGGAAGCAGATTTCTGCCTATTTCATCATTGGGACAGCTGTAAAGAAGATTTCTTTCACACACATTTAACACTATAATACCAGTGACAGACTAAACCCCAGAATCTTTTCAGGAATAGAGAGAAACTATCTGCTTTTGGGTCGATATTAGAACTACAGTATTAATCATAAATCCATTTTCAAGGTCTATGTGTCAACTTTCCCATCATCTAGAAATCCGTGTTTTCAAGCCTCGGTTTGGCCTTTTCTCCCAGCCGGTCGTACATCAAAGACTTGTTCACCACAGGGCTTCAACAGCATCGCTCAGATCAATGATCATTTCTCAAAGCTACAACGCTCGCAGATATTAACGGCGAGTTGCAGTATGACATTAATCATTACAGCCGTATCTATTTGTTCGGATGTTTTTTTCCTTCCTCGAGGCATTCCTCAAGCAGCCATTACTGTAGCTTTGACCTGCCGGCTGGGCTGTGAGTGGCATATTAATAGTATATTAAGGTCAGTGGTCAGGGAGCTCGTTTTTCATCATGTCATATTAACCTTGTGGGTTTAAAAGGACCTCAGAGGCTTCCGCTTGAATGAACTATCAGCTATCCATTGGAGCCATGACTGATAAAAACCTACATCAAGGACAATTTTAATATGTTTCTGAATTCTCTAAGGGGACGTTTGATGAAAACATTCCACTTATTTTACAAGCAGGAAGACCAATGGGGTTCTGGAGTGAACCAGAAGGTCAACAAGAATTTGAGTGAAGTGTTTAATAGAACTATAATATATCCATCTATTTGTTTATGACAGGATAGAGAGACAGGAAACAGGGAGAGAGAGGGGGGGAGGGACCTGGTCTGGAATCAAACTGGTAACAGTGCAGTTACACACTGTGTAAGCAGTCAACCACCAGGACGCCGCAATCAGAACACAGTATTGTGCATGAAAGTTCATTCTTAACTTTGAAAGAATAATTTAATATCTAATCACTCAAAGTCAACTTACTATCTTTTTACAGTGCTCACAACAGCACCCCATGGTCTTCATCAGTGTATGAAGTTTGTATGTAGTTATAAGCTCCTCAAAGCTAACTGGACATTGAATTAAGACTGTTTTGATAAAGAGATGTAGTATTTTGACTCATGTTACATGGTTTTCATCAGCAGAGAGAACATGCCATGCAGCAATGGAAAACAGACAGTAGGATTATTGATTAGATACTGTGATAATTGACACGCCAATCGGCACTCAAGGTCCACTTTCAACCAGACCTCACAGTCTTCATCAGCACATAGAGCTTGCAATGCAGTTGCTTGAAACAATCTGGTAAGCAGACCTTGAGTTGGGACTGTTTTGTCAAATAAAGGACTATAATACAAAATGATCTTAAACAAACAAACGAAGAAGTCCTAACGTAGTTCATACAGTTTGATCACAACTAAGCAAATCTGCTGTGATTGAGGCTGCAGACAAAGTGTGTAAGTGGACCTTGAGTTAATAATGAACTACCATAACAGTTTAGATTTTTGTTTCGGTTTTGTGTATCCAGCAGCAGTTTGTGAAAGGAAATGTGCCTTCTGGTGTTAAATAACATCTCATTCTGACTCTATCTGCCCAGACGTGAATATTTTAAGTGTCAAATTTCTGTTTTGCAATCTTCTTGATAACTGGTAAGCTTTTCCCTGCCTGCGGCCTTGTATCAAAATCAAATATCAGTCTGGACCCGGAGGCAGAGCTATTAGATTAGCCCTGCTAATAGGCTATAGCCCACGTTCAGAAGACAGGATATTCACTTAGGCATTTACTGCCCTGACTCCTCTCTTTCCCTTAAGCTCTGGCGAGGATGAATCGTCCCTCATCGAGCCTCGCTGTCACGATCCAAACGGGCCTGCAGAGTGTCAGATTTCAGAGACTGGCGGACAGAGTGTCCATTTGTCCCTGCAGGTCCACATCTGTCCATCCACCTCCAGGAAGACGTGCAGACACTTAGACTGATTCATCACTTGGTGATTACGTTTATTATACATAAATTATGATCCAGTCATCCACTTCTGATATGATGGATGTGGCTGTGTATTGATTGTACAGCTGACAACTGAAGGGAAAATATGACTCTACAAAGGAATAAAAAGCACTAGTTATGATAATATAATGTGTTTTGTCTCCATTATTCTGGTTTTCAGTCAGTTTCAGACGTCAATTTTCCTGTTTATTGTATTTTAATGCATTCATTCACATTATGTAGGAGCCATTTTGCCATTGTGCTTGAAATTAACTTGCATTGCCATATAACACAGAATTTAATGCACAAAATGTGACAATTTTCAAGTATCAGCTGAATAATATGAAAAGTAGAGGAAGTGGGAAGAAAATGTTCACCCTCTAAAGGGAAGTGCAACCTAATTTCATTCATCCATTAAGTTTAATGGTATCAATCTGTTCTGTCACATCAGCTGTCAGTCCTTACGAAGCAGTGCAGTAGTGTTGGTCTCATCACATTAACACAATCATCCTTGGATTATGTTCTCATCATGTGTCTGAGCTACTGTAAATGAAACGTGGAAAAACACTGCTCAAAATGTGTAGTTTTGCTAAAAATGTGGTGATTTGTGTTCATTCATGATTTAATTGCAATTATTTCCACAGTCATTTAAGATTACATTAAATGTTCTTCTGTTGGAGTGCATGAAGCTTAACAGGCTGAAGCGTGTTGACTATACTGAACAGTCTTAATTTACTGAGAACACACAACAAATCAAAGACAGCTGGACAAATCTGCACATTAGGCAACTAGTGAAGTTTTTCATATCTTATATCTATATTCTTTCCTCTTGTGTTTCACTCACTGTTGCTGTGGACATTTTAAACACAGATCTCGTTCATGAAAATTGTGGGAAGCAGATATTTTTTATGGCTCATGTTTATGTCTTTCATTTTATGTTCCAGCCAGATCACTGAGGTCCTTTCTGTTAAATGTTCCTTATATGTCCAATTAGTGTACCAGTGAGAGTGCCTTGTGCTTGTATGCCCCTGAACTGTGGAACTCACTGCCTCTGGCCTCTCTCTATATATATAGAAAATTAAAGACCATTCTTTATTATCTGGCATTTAAGTGGAATAATATTATAGCCTTGTAGTATCATTGGTTTTTACATTATTTTTCTCCTGCGTGTTGTATTTTATTTTATTTTTTCTATTGGCTTTTATTTATTGATGTGTCACATATACGTATTGTTTTCATGTATATATGTGAAACCCCATTTCTGCCAATGTGACGAGGTAAAAAAAGGTTCTGTAAGTCATTATACTGAGAAACTTTCTCACAATAATTAGACTGAATGATGGATTTGTGATACTCAGTCATTACTTTGAGAAGGTTTCTCATTAAAATGACTTTCAGAATGTTGTTTTGTTCTGTCACATTGGTGGAAAGGGGCTTCCATATGTCTGTGTTGTTTAAACGTTGCCGTGTGAACAGTTCTATATAATAAAGGTGAGCGCAGCCTCTGTAGCGCTGTCCTTGGTGCTGAAGCTGTGGGCGGTTGTGCAACTATCATTGTATTTGGAAAACTCATGGAAAGCTTTTGATTTGATTTTATTAATATTATTACCCAAAGTCAGTGCTTACAAAAGTGAGGTTTGGGTGTCTCTGGAGATCAGTGAGAGGTTCAAAGTGCCCATCAGCTAAATGGAATAAGATGAGATATTGGGATCAATGCCATGTTAGCTGCACCGAAAGTGTAAGAAGTAGAAGCAGTTGATACAGTCGCCTGTTGCTGCCAATGTTTGTATGAGGACATTCTTAGTTACAGCCTGTAAGGAAGGTTTTCCAAGCTGGTTGCACTTTATTAAAAGTTAATTAGGTAACAATAGATGGATGACTCACATCCTTTACTTAAAATAACTTCTTGTTCCTACAGTGTGATGTTTGAGTGATGTCTGTGCAGAGGTCGACACTAGACAGATGTTCACATTCATCTGCTGAAAGTGGAAAGCTCACTGAACATCTGGTTTTAAGGGGTGGGGCCTACAAGCATGATTTATGACAGAAATAGTACAGGAAGTCACTCCTGGTCCAGTATGTAACTTCTACAGTGTGATCCACCAGTGCTCCCACACTGAGAATAGACTTTACAGTGAAGGAGGAGGCATCTTGTGTCCAGCAGGAAAGCTTTAGAAATCAACACACATTCTGTCATTTTTAATTGATTAGTTGATTGGTTGATGGTCAAAAATGCTGATCACTGTTTCCCAAAGCTCAACGTAAAAATCCATAAATGCCTTGTATTGTCCACAACCCAAAGATACTCAGTTTACTGTCATAGAGGACTAAAGAAAGTATCACATCTGAGGCTGAAATCAGAGAATTGAGACAATTTTTCTTTAAAAAAAAAGACTCAAAACGATGAATCAGTTATTTAAATAGTTGGCGATTAATTGAATAGCTGACAACTAATCTATTAATCGTTGCAGCTTTACTTTAGTTCAAAACAATGTTTCATAATTTAGAAAACAACCAAAATCTGTAAAGTAAGCAGCAGCTCTCAGAGAGATGTCCCTGCGTAAACAGCAATATTTCTCTCTGAAATGTGGCAGAGCAGAGTAACTCAGCTGTTGAGTAAAATGTTGATGCTCCTCATTATGCTGGGGGCCTTCTGAGGGGCCCCCAGGGACCCTGAAGGCCCCCAGAGCTCACTCCTGGAAGTGCTGATGTGAGCGCTGTCCGTGGTGCTGAAGTCACTGCAGCAGTTAGAATGGAACTTCTGTCCAATCACAGAGGGTTTTACTCTCATTAGCTCCATTTATTCTGCTGCTCACTGAAACCCGTCCAGCTGAGCTTCCAGGATGTGAGCTGAGCCTCTACTCAGCGGGTTTACCTCGATCTAATTAGATGAGTTGCTGCTGTCAGCCAATCAGCGTCCAGTATACTGGGAGGACTGCGCCCTCACCTTCATCCCATTTACATCAACTTTCATCATTCACAAAACCAGGACTTGTAATCTGATTACAATAGAGAGAGAGAGAGAGAGA